GAAGATAAATATCGAAGCCAATGGTTCTCGAACATCTGTAACATACAAGGGATTAGTAACAAGAGAGGAGACACAACAATATGCACAGTAAATAGATTAATAATATACACAGTAAATAAATCACAGTATAGAAATCAGAGTAAATGAATCACAGTACACAAGAAAATAAATATCGAAGCCAATGGTTCTCGAACATCTGTAACATACAAGGGATTAGTAAGAAGAGAGGGGACATAACAATATGCACAGTAAATAAATTCATGGTTGTCGAATGCCTGCAACAAACAATAGGTTAGTAACAAGAGAAAGGACGAGTACGAGACGCGCGCCCACCCTCCGCGACGGCTCACGAGAAAGTGAGGAAGCTAACGCCGTTATGTATTGGGCGTACGCAGGTTTGTTCGTGTTGAATTGTTTTTGCTGGCTTGAACGACCTTCCTCCTTGAACGACCCAAACACCAGATGGTACGGCCAAGTACGGCCATAGTACACGGCGTACACGGCTAGGTCAATAAACTGTGTGACGCAACGTCCTTGCGCGTTGGACCGACGAAGAGCACCGATACCGCGGCATGCTCTGCCGTACTCTCTCGCTCGCACAACTCCCCCCATAGATCACCGAAATCCCTCGGCACGCGTGAATACCGACGGAGAGCACCGATACCGCGGCTCGCTCTACCGCTCTCGCTCGCACGCCGTGACGTCACCCGACTCCCGGAATACGGTAAGGCATTCGTGCGAGGGAAATTCTCGGAAACGGTTCAAGATTAGAAACTAAAATTTTACAGAATTTAGTTTCTTGTGGTTATCAACTGAATGCTACAAATTCGAAAAAAATCGGTCATTAAGATCGCAGTTCTGTGCGTTTCGACGTGGAATGGCTCGTTTAAACCCGTTTTCAGGATGCTACAAATATATGCAATATACATATATCATAGAATTATTGGTAATAAAATAAAAATAAACCTCCGAAGTGTTCCATACCGATTTTACCGAGCTTGTGCAGGTTCGGGGTCGGATTTATCGGAATTTGTGATCGCGTACAAAAAACTAATTACTTTTAATATGCTATTACGAACACGTATATATATGTATTGTCCCATAAATTTAAACAAACAATATATTTTTTAATTTACAATGACAAATATATTCATTATATACGAAAATCTATTATTTTTTATTTTGCATTATTATTTTAAATAAGCAAATATTTGGCAAATAAATTATTTAGAAATAATTTATTTTTGAAATAAGATTTTGGAATTTATTTGCATACATCCTTATTTTCAAATACACTTATCTGTTATTTTATTTGGAATAAATATTGGCTCTTTTTATTTCTAGTTTTCATTTCAAATCAAAAGTACCCAAGCCTACTTTATATAAAGTGAGAAGACCTTTTTTTAATACGTTTACAACGAAAGGACAGAGGAGAATCCGTTTGCCACATGCAGCAGCGATCTCTTCGATTTATTATTATTAATTATCATTCACTTTTGAGAAAACAAGACTAACAATAACAATTCATTCATAACCAGTTATAAACACCTGTGTATGACAAAATGATCACGTAGTTCGTTTCAAAATTGGTTGCAGACAAAAAAATGTTTCATAATGTCAATAATATTGATTTCCCCGCAACATCCATAATTATTACAAATATCAATATAACGAAATATCTTTTATGCGATGTTTGTGGTGTAATAAAAATCTGTGTTTCGATTACGTTTTTGATACATATTACTCATATGTAATAATATAGAATAAAAATATACTATTAGTCCGATATTTGAAAATATACATCCGTTCGTTGTCACTGTTAAACTGTTGTAATAACAATGGAATAATAAAATAATTTACTCAAATGTACATAATAATACATACACATATTCATAAAAACAATATTAAATGCAGTAACTTTCTTGTACGCGAAAAAAAACCAATAGGTCTGTCGGGACGGGAATCCAAGACTCCATAGTAGGTTACCGGGTTACCCTCCGGAGGGGAGTACGGGTTCGGAGTCTCGTGTTCCATCGTGGTCACTCGTGAACATTTCTGATCCAGAAGGTGTACACAATTACTTTGACGGTCGATGTATCATGAATTTTGAATCGAGAAAGGAAAGATTTAAATTATTTAATAGTCTTGCCATTTTACTGAAAGCTGTTGAAAATGAAAAAACGACCGTGGATCTTCGAAACGAAGGGTCTGTTTACGGAACTGTAGAATACGCAGACGCGTAAGTCACTTTCATTCGAATGCTTTTATTGTTATCATTATTAGAGTAGTTTTATTTTGGATTTTGTTTTGTTGGTACAGTGTCATGAACATTGTAATGAAGGATTGTATCTTCACTGATCCTAGAGGGGACTCTCACAATTATGATATGTTCTTCGTCCAGGCGAGAAACATTCGCTACGTTCATATACCACCAAAAGTTAGTATATAAAAAAACATGTTTATTACATTTCTCTCTGATATAGGTAGTTACGACTAGAACCTAAATATTCCCGTTGACATCACTAAACAAAGTAGAATTACACATTTTTGATTTTCGACGTTTTACGTATTTAAGTTAGGTTATTTGATATTTATTATTATATGCAAATATCGTGTTAGCACCGACGAGGTATAAGAATAGACATTTCATCCAATATATTTTTGCGGCCCCATTTTCCTTTTAGTGTCACTACCAACCATAGATTCACCATTGTTATAACGTAGAGGTCACTGAAATCACAGGCTTTTTAAGGTGTCGATACTACAGTTTAGGTGGGCCACTAACTCACATAAATGAAAGATTTATTCCTGTACCTTGTTGATGGTTTAGTAATAGGATATTACTTTCTACATTAAGTATATTAATTTCTATTTATCTGTATCTCTTTACCCACAATTTTTATCTTATTGATATGATAAGATTCCACCATTCATTACATAAACTGCTTCAGTTACATGTAAGAATACAGTCTACACCTTCTAAAACTAAAGTGAATTCAGTCATACTTTCTACAAGTGTTGAACATTTTTGTATAACAGTGTCAGATTTCTCATCTATACAAGTAAACATGAATAAGTTTAAGCTTCTCGATTACGATTGTATTGGGTTTGATTTAGATAATTCACTGATACGTTACAATCTAACAAACACTACACAGATGGTATATAAAACTTTAGCAAACTATTTAATAACAGAGAAGGGATACGATGCTAAATATTTATCAAGACCATTAGAAGGCAAAGACTTTGATTTCATACAAAGAGGATTAATTTTAGACTTTGAGAAAGGAAACATTCTCAAAATAAGTTCTGATGCTTTAATTCAGAGAGCATGCCATGGAACTAAATTATTAAGCCTTGAACAAATTAGAAAAATCTATCCTGATCAGAAGTGGCATGCTACAGATGTCTTTTGCCATGACATGTTGTCAACATGGAATGGTCCTCTATCAACAAAAATGAGAAGTTTATTAGATTACTTTGATTTTGCATCATCTATTATATTTGCAAAATTAATAGACACTCTTGATGAACAACAAGGAGGACCTTTAAAGGCATATAATGTTTGGCCCGATATGTTAGCTGGATTACAGGAAATGTATAATAAGGATCATTTTAAATTAGGTAGAGGATGCTTTTTCTTTAATATAAAAAAGGATACTGCGAAATACATACGTAAATGCAGTACAAAAACTATAACTTGGCTGAAAGATCTAAAAAAACAACATACCATTTTTCTTATTACTGGATCAGGTATTGATTTTGTTGAATGCATAGCTACATATGCCATTGGAGAAGACTGGAGATCATTGTTTGATATTGTTATATGTTCTGCAAAAAAGCCTGGGCTTTTTACCAGTGATCGCTCATTTCTACAAATGGTAAATGATGATACAGGTGATATAGTAGACACTAAAGATTTAGAACAAGGTGGGGTATATAGCCAAGGTAACTGGAAAGGACTTGTGAAATTTCTGGGACATGTATCCAAGAAAAGTAATCCACGTTGTCTGTACATTGGAGATAATCTTATACAAGACATTTATGTACCAAGTGTTTATGTACAATGTGATATAATAGCTATAATTGAGGAGCAGATGTCAGAAGGAATGGTTCATCAAGATTTATTGCATCCAGATGAAAAAATGTTGAATTCAACACTGTGGGGTTCTTTTTTCTGTTTGAAAGATACTAACATTAATGTTGATTCATTCTGGGGCTCTGTTATAAAAAAATATGCAAAATTGTGTATACCAGAATTAGATGTATTTGCACAACAACCATTAGAACAATCTTATTTATGTTTTAATAAGGATGGAAAGACATATGATGGATATTATCCAGCTGTACCACTTAGTATAACAACATTTCAAAATTTTGTCTAAAATTTCTATGAATAATTATAAACAATAAATTTATCTCAGGTGCTAATTTTGTTTATTAACATAATGTCTCGAGTTATCTATGTTTACTTATTTGAAATTTAATCATTAATGTATGATACTTTTATGGTAGAAACATATTGTCATATTTGTCATGTATTGTTAATTTAAGATACGTATTATACCAGCTATCAAGGAACGCATACAACATTTAATAAGCCATAAGAAAGGCCGTACCTATACTAAATCTACATTTAGAAGAATACGTGCTGAACAGAAACAACGAGAAGGACTTGTAGCAGTAGAAAAGATCCTGGATGAGAGGAAGAACCCAGAAGACCCTGCCAACAGTGAACTTAACAAAACATAAACAACAGAAGTATTTTTGTAATAAGTTTATTTACATTTTCAGTTTGGATGTATAAAAATAACTTTTATGTGCACACATATTGCACAAAATACTGTATGCACATGTTTATTGTATAATATATTGCTTTGTATAAATTTTAAGTACAGTTAAGAAATATACTGTAGAAAAGTAATATATTAATGAGTATAAATAACATAAGTTTATTTGCTTATACTTTATTTAAATTGTAATAATGTGCAGTAAATGCAACTATAAATATTTATATGTTGTCAATACACAAGCATACCTATGTATGTATATTTTATACCTGTATTAATTGATCTTCATTAGAATATGACGAACGTGTTTAACGATTTAACGAGTTTCAATAAAAACATATCTTTATCGTATTAATCAGGAAATATAATAGTGCTGTACATGGTGAATACACCACGTTCTATTGTCTTCCAAAGGATCTAAGTACCAACAAACTTCAACCTTTGCAGTACAAGTAAACCTAATTATGTGTTTGTTATTTTCTTTGAACAGCAATAGCAATTCCCATTCCACCACCAATACATAAAGCTGCAACACCTTTAATTCCACCAGTCCTTTCTAAGGAATGTAGTAAAGTTACTAAAACTCTAGCGCCTGAAAGATGAACATTTTAGATATAATAAACATATTAATAAGTTCACATACAACTAGTATTTCATTTACCAGATGCACCAATCGGATGACCTAAAGCAATAGCTCCTCCATTTATATTCACTTTGGATGGGTCTAAACCAAGATTCTTGATACATGCTATTGACTGTGCTGCAAAAGCCTCATTCAGTTCATATAAATCCACTTCTTCCTTTGTCCATTTTGCTTTTTTCAGCTGAAATATTTATGCAACATTATATTAGTACGTAATTTTGAGGTGACAAATTTTTTATATACATAACAGGAGTTACTGTATGCACTAACCACCAACTCGACTGCTGGAATAGGACCTGTACCCATAATCCTGGGGTCTACTCCAGTCTGAGCCACTGCAACAATTGTACCTAGTGGAAGGAGCCCCCTTTTTGCTGCAGTTTCTGCTGACATGAGTACCAACGCTGCTGCTCCATCATTTATACCAGAAGAATTACCAGCAGTGACAGTACCATTAGTCTAATTATAAGAAATGTTAAGTAATTATTATATTATGAGTGTTGCAATTTGTAACAAAACCTTTTAAAAAAAATTATACCTTTATAAAAGCAGGTCTTAGTTTCTTAAGGGCTTCAACAGTTGTTCCAAACTTAGGGAACTCATCTTTGTCTACAATAACAGGCCCTTTCTTCGTAGGCACAGTTACAGAGACAATTTCTTTATTGAAGTAGGCTGCATTCATTGCAGCTTCTACTTTTTGCTGAGACTTAGCTGCATATTCGTCTTGTTCCTCTCTGCTTATATTAAATCCCGCAACAATATTTTCAGCTGCAAATGTTATATTACATTACTTAAGAAATTTATACTAGAAAGGGACAATTGAAGTGTTATTCTTCTTGCACCTGTTACTCCCATTTGAATTCCATGAAATGCATCTGTTAATCCATCAGACAATAAAGAATCTAGAAAATTACAATCCCCTAATTTCACACCATTTCTAAGGTCTGATACATGTGGTGCCTGACTCATGCATTCCTGGCCACCAGTTACAACTATTTCGCTTTCCCCAACTTTTATGGATGTATAACCAGACATAACTGCTCTAAATGAATAAATTTGCATTGTAGAAAATACATACAATAGCAATGTGCACATAAATTGGAATATATAAAAGAATTTGTGATAATATTAACATTGAAACTACTATGTTCCTTTTTAGAATACATTAGTTCATACTTAATAGATATGCAATCTTATATTTACTTTAAACCAGAACCACATAGCATATTAACTAAATATGCAGGTACAGTTATAGGAATACCGGCTTTTATAGCTGCTTGCCTTGCTGGATTTTGACCTTGTCCTGCTGTTAATACCTATAATAGAATGTAATTTAGAATTGACAAAATTTTTCACTTAATCATTTTTATCAATATATGTAACAAGGATGCAACTTTACTCGCAGCACTTTATTTATAAGTTGACTAGATGTCTAAAAACATAGATGTTTTATTTTTTTTTATTTTAAATGATTTGAATATGTTGCCTTGGGTGATATCAAATTACACTCTTAAATTACCTGTCCTAAAATGACTTCAGTAACATCACTCGGTTCAATATTAGCTCTTTTTAGACTTTCTTTAATAACAATGGTTCCTAAATCTGATGTTTTTATAGATGATAAGGATCCACAGAATGATCCTACAACAAATAATGATAATAAAAAATTGAAATTAAATGAATTGCATTTCATATTTAGTGCATGATTTACAGGAAGACATATTAAAGCAACATACAGTATTTAAAATGTAACAAGATTTCTTATTTAAAAACTGTTCATAAAATGAAAGTACCATCAGGAGCTTAGATGTATAATCTTTAAGATTATGTCAAGACACATTTGTTAATCAAGAGATAAGTGATATCAGAGTTTCTAATTTGAATGTTAGTAAAACTGTATAAATATAATTGTTTTTTGATACATGTTAAATCGATTGTGTTTAATACGCGGCATATTTTAAATTGAAAATTTGATTGCTATTACAATATTATTTAAACTGGGTTAGTAGTATACTACACGAGGAATATAATTACTTTCCCCTTTTAGAACATTTGAATGCATAAGGTACAAAATTTATACCTATGGGTGTCCGAACCGCTGATACGATCACAACATCACTTGCACTCATGTTGAAATCTTCTTACAAATTCCGTCCAAACTTACGGAAAACTGAACGAAGACTGCCGCCACAAGCCGATATAACGGAAATAAGTTAGCAGCCGATGTGCCGACGACGTGTGACAGTAACGGCATATGAAAGTGTGTCAAACGAAGTCCAGCCGCATTCTTCCGTGAATAGTTCCACATATAGTTGTATTGAGCAATTTCAATGTACTACACCATTTTAAGAGTACAATGACGATTCTTCTCAATTTTATACATAAATTAGACGCGTAAACATTATCGGTACATAATGTTATGGGTAGCAAGTTTTTTTCAGGCGACAACTTCATATTGATTCGTAAGAACATTCACGTAAAAAATCGTACATTTAAAAGTGAATCATATTTTTGAATTTATTTGTACAAGAAAAGCAAATGTACGTAGCTATGGCATTGCCTTTATTATCACAGATGCCGATACGTCCCTGACACGACGTCACCGTCGGTCTGTCTACGAATTCAGTGTACAGGTGGCGCTGACCCACCAATCGTGGCGCCGTGGTGGTGCTCGTTTGTTTTTACCCAGCGTGCATTGTGACCAGTGACTGGTGCTAAGATGGCTGACAACAAGGAGGAGATTTCGGAGCTCGTCGAAAAGCGAGGTATTTATTGCGATTCTACCGATTTACTTGTCGTGATTTCGATACGGGATCGAGGCACGGGCCATGACGGGATCGTCGGCGTAGACGTGCGGCCGGTGTGATCCGTAATTGCCATAAAAATCACGCCATCTGCACGCACGGTGACCAGGAGGAACGATCGCGAAAATCGTCGCGAATATACCAACGAATCGGGGCTCGGTTTCCGTGTCTGTCGCAACGTTCACGGTGATCGTGGCCGGTTAACCTGGCTCCCGCTGACAGGGACACGCCTGTCAACGCGACGTCACGACCGACCAGTGCCAAACATACCATCTTTTTGACAGGGGGGCTACGTGCACACGGTCCGCTGCACGACATCCTTCGGGGCAGCGTGCGTGTAGTAAGTACGGTACGAGCGAACAGCAGACAGAACCGCACGGTCTCTCGCCGCCTCGTTCGCCTCGTTCGCCTCGTTCGCCTCATGTGTGTCCGCCTAAGCGCTATGCTCGTTACTCATTAAGGTCATACGCCGACGGCCTTGCAATTCGACCGTCGCTCAAGTAATCCCTCGCTCGAGATTACCGTTATCTCTTACCGCGAATTTACTGCCGGCTGATTCGTCGAACACCTACGCTCTAGGCTGCCGTGTATACGCGAGCGATGGCGAGTAGGAGCGCGCGTGTGCGTTCCCACACGGATTCCCGATCGGCGGTATTCGAACGTTCTGTCGACCGCGGGGCACTTAAAACCGGTATTATTTTGGTTTCGGTATTACACTGATTAAGTCGCACCTATAACCGGAATAATACCTAATCCGGAGTGGTTACTTGGATCATTTCGATTTTCATCTGTATACCGAGCTCTCAAAACATCATAACCTATAACCCACGGTTGGTTGAACACAGTGTACAGAAAGTTTGTAAATATCGATGAAATTTACCATAAGCAGAGCTATGAAAGAGAACGGCACAACAATTTTCGCATTGCATACAGTTTTGTTGGTTTGTATCATTATACAAGAATATTTTGTTAATTTGACGTATTTGTTTATTTACATTTAATCGACGATATTAACGATGAATCGTTTATAAATACTCATCTGCATTTTCGTTAACGTACATTATTTAAATTCATCTAAAAACTCAATAGCAGTCACCGGTGATCGTTATGGCGGCGAGTGCGTTAATACACCTATACATGTCAGGAGTATACAAATGTATAAGTGCAAAGAGCGGGGTTCAGCATACATTATAAGTGCTGTTATATCTAACCCTGAGTTAGAATAAATACTAATTATCAAATACCGGGAACTACGTATTAGTTTGCCGGTTTGTTATGCATCGGTGTATAAGGATTATTATTACTGTCTTCTTTATTACACGCTATGGGCACATGCAGATAAGTATGTCAAATCATAAACACAAAAAATACATGGTATTTTTATTAGAAATGTATAAACCTTCAGTATAACATCATGCAGGTACTGTCGTGTTTAATTTCTATAAGGGTTACAAAAACGAATCGTGAAATCCTGTTATAAATACTAGTATTTTGTGTTTTGGTATAAGTTTCTCGTCGAGTCCACATGGTCGTTCCATGGCGAGCATGCACGGGGGATGTAAAACGTGTCCGTTGGTGCTCGTCAGGCAATAAATACACGCGTTCTATCACGATAGATCGTCGCCAGTGAAAGAGAATATCGGCCGGTGATCGATCGCCACTTGACGTCTCGATCTTATGCCACTGCACGCCACGTGGAATTTGCACCTCGATCCATTACTCGTTTGATACCACGGAAGCGTTTTCTTTCATTACCTGTACACTTCTAATCAGGTCCACGATAAAAGGATACGTAACGATAAATACATGCAGGTTCAACTTTGCCGGTTTTGTATTCGCCGCGACCATAAATTAACTCGTTTGATGCCACGTGGATTTTGCGTCGACAAATAATGCGCAGAGGATCGTGATGTCCACGCGCGTCAGACTCTATTCATGATTCCCGATTTCTTTGTGTATATAGAGTTGTTTCACAGATTTTTTTCTGCATGTGACGTTTCATTTTATTTTTTGCCGTGTTTTACTTACACTGAGGAATATCTAACACATATTTGTCTAAAGCAGTCTGTCTTGTCAAGATGTGAAGAATACTTTCTAAGAAATATTATCTGAGGTCATAGGGGCGATGTATTGTTGACTTACTGTTACTAGTAATTAGCGAATAAAAGTTATATCAATCTGTTTGAAATTCAACTAAAGCGCTCGCGCACCGTCGCGCGGCCGAGATCTCCCGAGTGTGGACAAAGTCTCGCGAGATTCCGTTGCGCTCCTCGTTCCACGAAACATCACGCGATTTCATCGCGGAAACCAATGCTGGTCCGCATCTGTATCGCGCGATGACTCATAGCCAATCACCGCATTTTGCAAAAAAGGACTCTCGGTGCTCGAGTATTGTCCTGCGCCGAGAGCCCAACAGAACTGGAAGAATACCGGTACGGTTCTCACGCAAAAAACCGCACGTGCCTCGCGTCATTATAACACATTTCTCTTTGTTGCAACCAGCCAACAAATTCTATCGAATGCGCATCGCGTTATCGTTCCGTCTTAATTATTGTACATCGTCCAATAAACGTTCCAAGTGTTCGGTATTTCATCGCCAATTTCGCGTGTGTTTTTCTGGACTCGAGCAAGAGTCCTCCTTCCACCTTCACGCTCAGCGCTGAGCGATCCCAGCGATTTTCTATCGAAATTTGCGGCAATCAGCCCGTTTCGAAACACAATCATTTTGTCAGATTGTCAATATAGCTCACTCAGATGTACTGTTTGACCATCATTTTTTGTTTCCCATTTTCGTGGATACAGTGACCCAGTCTGACCGATAGACCCTGGAACACCCTTATTTATTTACTAACCAGTCTAAGCTTTTTCTATCAGTCATTTTTCGTAAATGTGCTATTTATATTAATTTTTCTATCTTCCAAAGACCTTTCTATGCATGCTTGAAAGTTGTTATTTATTATTTACATGCTTTGGCTCTCGTTACATAAATAATTCACTGTACAATATCTGTCCCTTCGTATGTTACATAGTAAATTCGAAAACCGCAACGTTCATCAACATTACCGATTTTTCGTACGCCCCTACTTCATGAATTTCATCGGTCCGGGCCTCGAGGGTCTCGTATGTAGATCAGCGGACGTGTCATTCGTTCGATCCGGCCGATTACGGTTCATCGTCCATCTACCGGCTCGTATCCCCGTGCGTTTTTTGTAATCGTTTAATGGTAATTCCTTCTTTTTTCTTCTGCGTGCGGGCATATCGATATTTTATCAACGAATTACGTGGGCTGCGGATGATTATCCGGGGGTGATCGGCGTTGCGCACTGATCAATCGGGATTTCTGATCGTCACTGCCACTGTAATGCGATTAGCATGGTTACATGCGTCTTGTGTATTACATATGTGCCGCGTCTTCTGCACGAGCGTATTTATTTTCTGCGCACCACGTCGCTGTACCACGTCGTACCAGTTCCCCGTATGACTTTATTAGAATTTTTCTCGTAGATTTCTTTTCTTTTTAATTCTGGATTCTTTGACCGTTTGAAAGCCGTTCCTGAGAGCAATCTCGGAGGCCCTTTCACCGGTGAGACATGAATTTTCCAATTATGTTGTTACCTGCATGAAAATGGGAAACCTCCAGTTCTTGTACAAAAGTGCGTTTTGTCAACAAGATTTTTCATGACATTTCTACATGTTTGTTATGTTATTTCCTGTATTTCTTGACAAATATTGTCCTCCTGCTGCTTAATTGTGGTAGGCTTATTTGCATAGACCTTTCCTTTTGAGTATCCCCACAGAAAAAACATCTAGATCCATTAAATCCGAAGAAAGGAGGGATCTATCAACGAAAATTTCTCGTAATTTTTAATAAGTTCCCACGACAAAAATGAACGGTTCACACTATACGACTTTCAAATGAAAATTAACATAATTTCAACAGAAAAATAAAATGGTAACGTCCTCCTATAATATCCTGTGTAGACCAACCTTTATATGGTACTGTGTCGTTCGTAGTAGGTCTGCTGTTTATCCTAGGAAGTCTTGTTGATCGAATAGACGACGGTACCTGAGTCTAAATAGACTCCTACTCATCTTTAGATGTGTTTCGAAAGAAATTTTTTCCTCCTTATTAAGTACTAATATAAACAACTGTACGCTTGAATTAGTTTCTGTAAGCTGGAATGGTGCGTGAAGTTTCTGGCGTTCTGGGTTTAAATCGACCCGGACACCGTTGTCCAAGGGTTAGATAAGGTGATCGTCATTTCATAGCTACCCTTAAACAGTTCTTTCAATGTGGCGTATTATTGCTTGGCGAATCTCCATTG